ATCTTTAGCCTCTGGGCTAGACTATCTGACAGACTTTTCTGTGAAGCAGGAATTTTGAAGGACTGGCCTTCCTTGTCTTGGCGAAGTACAGCAGTCACCTTTTTTTGTGTTCTGCTTGTCCAATGTGGACAGCCTACTGTCTGCAGTCGAGACAAGAGTAGTTTCTTGCCCAATGGCTAATTTTGCCACAAAGAAAGCAAACTCCATATGGAGTTTCTTCACACCCATCATCTTTTCTGAATTTTATTAGTGCTGCCAGGAGCAGATGTGTCTCACTCTCATGAAAAACCTTGTGTTACTACAACATCTTAAATGCCGTGTTCTGTAGGTCTCTGAAGTGTTTGAAGACCATCTCTTTATCTAAAATACATGAGACTAAATAGGGCTTATTTCTGTCTAGATATAACCATTACTAGAAGTTTGGTTGTTATCTTAATTATCCCAAACAGTTTGTAATAATAGTTTTCAAGGTCTAGAACTTTACAATACATTGTTAAAAGAGCTGCATAGGTACAATACCTTAAACAAAAGTAGAAGCATAGGCAGTATAACAATAATAACCTTAAATTTGTATCAAATACAAAAATCCATACCAATGTAAAACATTTGATATTAATAGCTATTGTTTAAGTTTAAAAGTAAATTCAGTAATCTACCCTTTTATCCTACTATTCTTTTATCTTCCCTATTTTCTTTTCAGAAAGAGATTCCTGAATCTAACCTCCTTTGTTTAGTTTTTTCCCCCTGGCCATGACCAGTAACAACTTCTAACCAACCCCCCTTAACAATGGCAAACATTTATAACCCACCAAATTATCAAAAACCACCCACCCTATACCTTGGGTATGTGGGTATCATATTCTCTAGACTGCTTCCTGTTGTCTTGGGGGTGACAAATCTTTAGGAAACCCTGCAAAAATCAGGTTGATAATCAAGTCCTAGGAAAGCTAGCTGTATATTTTTTGTTTGGTCTCTGTGTGGTGGGAAAGTGTAGAGCTCATCTGAAGTCCTGGCTGCAGGAGTCTGTGAGGCTATGAGGCTGGACCAGCTCAACTAGCAGCTTTGAAGTTGCTCTGTATATAAATTTTTGGGGAAACTGCCGTGAGGCATTCTGTGAACCTGGATCACATGGGCTACTTGTCTTTATTGGTGCCTGGTCCTTTCTATTTTTGAAAACTCACAAACTTTTAAGATAACACATATCTGCATTAACACAAGTCTAGATTGTATGGTGTGTATGAATCAGCTAAAGATGATTTTCTGCTTTGTGTTTGAGCAGATAAAAGGCACCTGTCAATTTTATAAATCCATTTGGATGACATAACTGAGATGTAATGTAAATCTCTACCCATGCCATATGAAAGGATGGCATGTAATAAGTAGTCACGAGGACTCTGTCGCCAACAAGATTTATCCTGTATCATCCAGTCTACGGCTGTTCAGAGGGATCAGCATATATGTCACCTGTCCTGCAGTCTTTCCTGGCTTTCCCCCTCATGTCTGCAGCCAAGATCCTCAGGAGGTCTCCCTGAGCCAAATCTGATCTCGATTAACATTGGAAGAATCCATAGCTTTTCATTTCCTGTGGAAAAGAAATCAAAAGTATAACCTCTCCCCCAACACATTTCCCCACTTCCATTTTGAAGCCAAGGCATTCCTAAAGTATATCAGGTGGTTTCATTCATCAGTCCCTTCCACAAACCGATGTCTTTCAGCAGCTGCTATTCTCTGTTCATTAGCATTCAAAATATTCAAAGTTAACAAAGTATTATGTAAGCTCCAAATTCCCTGTGTTTTACTTTCCATCCATCCACATACATATATGTATGTATGTATACATACATATATATATACATATATATATATATACATATATATATACATACATATATATGTGTGTATAAATATATATATGCCTTTACTCTCTTTTTAAAGACTTGATTATCTTAAAACTATTTATTATGACTGTCTATACCTATTTTCTTTTCTTTCTTCAGCATCTCAGCACATTTTAGGCATGCTTATCTGTCCAGAGGCTTTCTTGGCCTGGACCTGACTTTCTGTGTGTTTTCATGAGCCAAGCCTTAAACTGCTAAGCAGCAGCTAGGTCCTCTGCTGCGTGGCTCTCCACTTAGTGCATGGCCTGGCCACTCACCCCACCCCTTCATGTTGGTGGGAGTGAAGCCTCAGGCCTGCAGTTGGGCCTGGAGCCAGTCTATCTGCACCAGCTCCAGGAGGCGCTTCTCCCCAGTCTCCCACCACCACCACCACTGTGTAGTGTGCTGCCCGGTGAATGCCATTCAAGTGCTCAGTAGCAGGGCTTCCTAAAAGAGTTACGCCTGTGCATGCCACAGGCTCTGAGCCTACTAGAAACTTGTTTTTTTTCTCTTTCAGTTTTCTAAGGTCCTGTGTGGATTTACATGCCACACATTGGGTGCCATTTGTAGTTAGCTTTTTTTTTTTTTTTTTTTTTTTTTTTTTTGGTCAGCCACCATCTTACAACAACATGGAGACTTATTTTATTAATTATGAAAGCCTGACCTTTAGCTTAGACTTGTCTCACTGGCTTTTATAACTTGAATTAACCCATTTATATTAATCTACATTCTATCATGTGACATTACCTCTCTTACATTTTTGCACCTCCTATTTCTTCTCTGTGTCTCGTGGCATCTGCTGCATGCCTAGATTCCTTCTCCTTTTCCTTTCTGTCCTGGAAAGTCCTGCCTATACTCCTGCCTAGCTATTGACCATTCAGCTTTTTATTATACTAGTCACTGTAATACATCTTTACACAGTGTACAAGTATCCCATGACATCTAGCAACGAGTCCTTGTTTTAGGATGCCAGGATATATGTTCTGGGATTTCCCAGAGGGCTAAAGTGATGCCCTTTGCTGAGAAACAAGTTGCCCCTGTAGGCAGGCAGCATATTCATACAGCTGTCTGTAGGTTTTGAAAAAAGTCTTAGGGGACTAGTGGTCAACTGTTTGCCATTTCTTTCTTTTAAAACTTTTTTTTTATTTGTTTTGTGGGGAGGGTTTATACCACTGCATGTGAATAGAGGTCAGAGGACAACTTGCTGGAGTTGATTCTCTTTTTCTCCATGTGAATTCTGGGGATCAAATTTGTACTATCCTGCTTGGCAGCAAGTGCTGTATCCATTGAACCACTTCATTTACCCAATTTACCATTTCTTAAAGTGTACCCCCTCTTTGTGTGTGTGTGTGTGTGTGTGTGTGTGTGTGTGTGGCGGGGGTAGGAGAGTGGGGGAGTGGGGGAGGGGAGAACCTGAGGATGACTGGGAAAGGAAACCAGAGTCTTGAACATGTTAGGCAAAGGCTTTCCTACTGAGCTATAACCCCAGCCTTTTATTTTACTTCTTATCTTAAGACAGGGTCTTATTAAGTTATTCAGGCTGCCTATGAATGCACTGTGTAGCCCAGGTAGGCCTCAGCCCTCTGAATAGCTGGAATTACATACCTGTGCCACTAGCCTGCCTCTTGTATTATTTTATTTGTGTGTAGTAGATAACGAACTTTCCACTGAGTGACTAGATCTAAGGTTTTCAAAACTGTCTGTTTTAACAAACATGCCAAACAAATAACCAATTTTCTCAGTACCTCTGCTGTGCAAATGTCATCATATATGCAAATACCAGCTTCAGATGCCATCTTAAGGAAATGCTGGGTTGATGTTCCTTTTGGAGTGTCTGGAGCGGTCTTTGTGGGGTTGCAATCAGAGCCAGCTGAGCAGCCCCAAGTCTGTACCTGAGTGGTGGAGTATGGATGAGGGAAAGGCTACCTGTAGACAATAAAGAAGAGACAGAGAGAGAATAAAGGTCAGGAGGGCAGATCAATACTGAAATGCCACGAGTTTATTTTTCACCACTCTTATATACCTTATCCAAAAAGGGAAACACAGTATCATGTTGCCTAGGGAACAAACAGACTTCTCTTCCTCACTTATTCTAAGGGTTCAATAACCACACCTTAGCTGCAACTTCTTGTTCCCTAGCCTTGAGGTCAGAAGTATCCACAACTCAGATTCAGGTCTGTTGTTACTTAGACTGAGATAGCCAAAACATCCCTCTGTAGCCACACCTTTGACCTTTAGGTCTTGTGACTTGCTGACAGCTTTGAACTCTCTGTCCTTCTACCAAGATGGAGTGCAGCCATCTTTATGGGCACCCACATTGGAGCTAAGGGCAAGTCTTCACAGTTGGATTGTGGGGATTTTTGTTGTTTTGGGGGAGATGAGTAAGTTTGCTTTATTTTGTTTTGTGTGGCAAAGTGGATAATTTTCAATCAGATCCTTTAGTTTTCATTTGTCTTTCTAGCATCATCACTGGTGTAACCTTGGCCATTCCCCAATCCTTTGGGGATGTCAGGCAGGCTGGGTGCTCCTGCTGATCAGCGAGCACCCTGGGTATGGACTTTGGTTGTGGACATCCATGTTTTCATTCTCAGGGTGCTTTCTGTTCAGTGTGCACATTAACCCCACAAAAGGGCTGCTTGAAATTTTGAAATTTGAAATTTTGATGATGTAAGAGTACAGTGGTCTTGCCATTGAAACTAGACTACTGCTTTACTAATGTAGCATGGCAGCTGTGCTGAAGTAGACAATGACATCAAGACATAGGTAAGATTTAGTCCTTATAAACATCCCAAGTTTCCCTTGTCACTTAGCTGCGTAGAATATACAAGAGAGAATGGGAGACAACTTTAGTTCCATGAACAGTTACCAGATGGAGTAAGGGTTGCAAACCATGTTCTTATTGCAATTTCCTTCCTAATTCTAATCTTGTCAACATATTTCCCTTCACAACACTGCTACCTTTTGCATGGCAGAGATGCTTAGCTATGTCTGCAGTGAGGCCATGGGTGTGCATTGAATTCTGTGCCAATGAATGGAACTCACTCACCCAGGATTCTGTTATAACAGTGATAATGTAAGAAGCTACATTTCACCTCACGTAAGCCTTCCGTGTTCTTTCCCCAGGGTTCAGCGGATTCCTATACAAGCAGGCCATCGGATTCCGATGTCTCCCTGGAAGAGGACCGGGAAGCGATTCGGCAAGAGAGAGAACAGCAAGCAGCTATCCAGCTTGAGAGAGCAAAGGTGACTTCCCTACTCCTCTTGTTGAAAACTGGTGTATTGCTCAGCCTCTGTGCTCAGCATCCTACCTCACATCTGTTTTAGGGTTTCTGATAAATACTAACCAAAAGCAATGTGGGGAAGAAACTGTTCATCAGCTTACAGCTCTCTGATGACAGTCCATCACTGAGGGAAAGTAGCAGGAACTCAGGTAGAGCGGGAACCTGGAGCAGGAATTGAAAATACATGAAGGAATTCTGCTTAGTGGCTTACTCTCTGTGGCTTGCTTAGCCTACTTTCTGATACCATCCTGGACTACCTGCCTAGTGTGAGACTGCCCACAGTGGGCTGAGCCCTTCTACACTAATCAATCATTAACCAGAAAAATGTTTCACAGGCTTGCCTACAGGCTAACTTTGTGGGAACATTTTTACAAATGACATCCCCTCTTTTCAAATGACTCTAGATTATGTCAACTCGATATAAAACTAGTCAGCATGGTGTCTCTTTGGAGTATTTATTTTCTAGCTATCCTGATAAGATTTCAGATTGCTAGATTCTCTGTTGTTCCCCTTACAGAAGTTAGTGGGATCTGCAGGCTCCCATTTCCTGTGAACCTTTGCCTTTTTTTCTGTTTGAGTTAATGGTAATTCTCAGTTGTTTCCCAACCTAGCAGTGTGGCAATATCAAGCTGACCTCACCCAGTATTGGCAGAGAGCCTTCTGAGCTGTTAGCCCGAGTCCTCTGTCCTTGACCCCTCCCGTCACTACAGGCACCATTGTGCTGGGGATTGTTTCGCTGCTTCCTCTATTCTTTGGAGTCTAGATTTCAGATTCCCACCTCAAGTTCAGTATGAAGTTCAGAACATCACTTTCTTTGCTTGCATTGCCCATTCTGGGCTTAATACATGGCCTACCGATGTGCACCATCAGACCTGGTTAAGAACTTTGAACAACTCAAGTAAGAGCAGCAAAGACAGAAGCCATCACCAGTCAAGATGGGCTTCAGCTCCTCCTCTTTCCAACAGACATTGGTGGAGCAAGAGACCAATTGCATGGTGGAGTTTTAGGACCAGACAAGTTGCTAGCATTCTCCCACCCTACCTATGTCCAACTTTATAGCACAGACCCTTTTCTGCAAATTAATTTTCATGCACAATAACAACATATAAGACAGTGTCCACGGCTAGCCTGTCCTCTTGCTTCCATGGCCAGCTGCTATGGCAGGTGCCTTTCTGACTTCTAGACTCAAACCCAAATAAAGTTAATTTCCTTCTTTTTTATTTTATGATGAAATCTTTTAGAGTTCTGCAGAATGAGAAGAATGATGCAGAGGAATGAAGCATCAGCTTCCACACACTCTGTACAGTGCTCTCTGATAGAAGGGCATCTGCATAGTGCCTGGGAGGGAACCAAAGAGGATTGAATTCGGGTCCAACCTCAACTGTTGCCATTCCCAATGCAAATAAATAAACCTATAGCTTGCAGACCCAGAAGCTTGGAGACCTTGTATCTCACATGTTGCCAGTTCTTGTTTTGAAAAAGTCCTTCACCATCTGTCTCATTACTGTGTGATCACCTAAATGGTGGTGGCAGGACCATAGCCTAGACTTGTGGCTGGCTTAGCTCCCACAGGCTGCATCTATCTGCTCAGGAGCACTTGGCCAGCAGGCGTTTATATACAAGTTTTAAAATCAACTGTTAGAAGCATGAAGATAACAGGTGAAGAGGCTGACCTGCTTGTTAGGTTTAACCCACAATGGCCCTCTTTGCCCTGGCAAGACCAGAGATTCAGCTGCAAAAGATCTCAGGTTTTCTTATCAGAAGCTCTTTCAAAAAAAATTTATTTTCCCCCACTCCTCAAGTTTTTAACACCCAGTGTATATTTCCTAGCATATGTTTGTCTTGTATGTATGGACATGTTCATGTGTGTGTGCACCCAGGAGTGTGTATATGCATGATTATGTACATGTGTGTGGAGGTCAGAGGTTAATGTGTTTTCCTAATTACTCTCCAACTTAATATTGAGACAGCTCTCTTATTGAAGATGGAGTTCTCCATTTGGCAAGACTGGCTGGCCAGCAAGCCCAGGAATCTGCTTGCCCCTGCCTGTCTAGCACTGAGATGAAAGGTGCACACACCCTTGCACCCAGCATTTGTCACAGATGCTGGGGATCTGAATTCAGTTCCTTGTTCTCATACAACAAGCACTTCATCAACTGAGCTGTCTACCTAGCATGTCCTGTATCTCACAGTTGGGACAGTATTTGGTATTGTTTAAAGAAAATAGGTTGTAAGAGTGGAGAACAAAGCAGACGGCTCCCACCTATTTCCATCCCTCCCCAGTCTTTTAGGGACTAGTTCTTTATTGGGGATGTTGGAAAGTACCACAGAAGAAGGGAAATGGCTAGGCTGAGAGGAATGAGTCATTCCCAGAGTCATCTCTGCAAATTTCTGGATGTGGCCTGCCACTATAAAACCCAGCGGAGATCCCTCTTTGGAAAGTGATTTCCTCATTGCCTGGAACCATCATTCATCCTGTGACATGTTTCAATATGAAAAATGCTTCTCTCTTCTCCTCCTCCCTCCCTCCTTGTTCTGTGCTTCTGTCTCTAGTCCAAACCTGTAGCATTTGCTGTGAAAACGAATGTGAGCTACTGCGGTGCCCTGGATGAGGATGTGCCTGTTCCCAGCACAGCCATCTCCTTCGACGCCAAGGACTTTCTTCACATTAAAGAGGTAAATGTAGGACATACTGAACCCCTTCATCTGCCAAAAAGCTACAGCTGGGAATCAACCTGGGCCAAATCACAGGAGAGGAGACCCAAGGAGCTGCTAGTGTGGAGCCCGTTAATGCTCCCAGCCCCTACATCCTTTCATCTCACTGAGATTTCCAAGCTGAGCTCATTGCCTGAATTGCCACATACTTTCAACACTGGAGCACACTCAACATTTTAAACCATACAAGATACAACGAAACAACGGATTTTGGATTTTGTGTGTGTGGGGAGTGAGTGTGGGAGGGGGGTGTTGACAAACAAATCCAGGGTCTAGTGTATGCTACACACACACAGTCAGCCCATCTGTGGTATTACAGACCCGTGAACCTATGGGAAAGCATGAGTTTTGTAGCAAAGCAGGATCCAGGAGGGACTTTTTACAGAGTGATACTATTGTGATAGACACTATGAAACTATCTTCTTAAGTTGTTAAAGCTAAGAAAGGAGCAAAGAACAATAGGAACAGAGAGCTTGAGGGATTGACCCATATAAGGAGGACCCGGGGTCTCACATATAGAAAGGTATAAGAACAAAGTAGTAACAGCAGAAGCTTAACTTGTGTTCAGCCTAGAAACAGTGCAGCTCTGTTTGGTATCAGGCACTGAGCTCAGCACCACAGGATGAGACATAGCAACAGGGATGCTATGGGTGAGGAGCTCTGAGACTAGGGGCAGGATGAATAGTATTAATGGTTTCTCTATGGAATGACAAATTCTACTATTTTAAAACAATGGATCAGTGTCCTGGAAGTTCAGAGAGAGGAAGCATCAATATGGAGGAAGAGTCAGAATTGGGCACAGAGTGCCATGAGGGAAGGGTCAGCCAGAAGCATTGCAGCATGGCCAGAGGGCAGTGGTGAAACTGAGAAGAGGCCATGCCAGCAATTCAAGAGACACAGCTTTTCTTTTGGCTGTGCTGGGACTGAATTCAGGCCCTATGCACACCAGGCAAACACTATAGCTGTTATCTATAGCCCAAAAATTTTGAAAGGTGCACCTTAGCCAAGACAAGAAGACTCGTCTTCCAGTGGGCTGCAAAGGGATTTGGAATAAAGCAGACATATGACCAGACTTGTATTGAGAGTGGGACCTGTGATAGGCAAAGGGGAACTGAGGGTCTCACTCCACTGCATGTAGTAGAGAAAGTGAGGGGGAAATAAAGGGTGGTGGCCAGCTAGGAATATGGGGTCTCACTCTACTGCATATAGTAGAGAGAGTGAGGAGGCTGGGAAAAATAAGGGATGGTGGCCAGGTCTTCAAAGTCTCTTGGACTTACAGGAAGTGGCATAAACCTCTAGACTCAATTTTTGAAACAGAGAAGGCAGAGAGACCAGATATTACAGCAGTTGATATGACCATGAATTTATGTTTGGGCACATAGTGCCCACAGTCTGGAGGACTGTGACCCCTTCAGCATCTGAGTGGTTGAATCTGTGTCATTATTTCCACTGAAAGCAACTAAGCCATATTCATGAGTTGCCAGCACTCATCATTTTCAAGGAGAGGTGACCTTTAAGAGTGAGGGACATTCTCACGTGCTTATGACACTGTCATTCCAACCTTGCACTATTTTATTGCTTTGTGCATTGCATTAGTATTCTAGTTGTTATTAATACTTTAATTGGACATATTATATGATCAGTTGATACATATAATAGTACACAATGAAATTAGAATGGTTAACACTTCCAGCTCTTTAAGTTAAAAAAAAAAAAAAAGTTTTCTGGCATTTTGAGACATGTATGCAGTCTTCATGGCCAAATTGGAGTAACTAATGCTTGTATCTCCATATGTATTTGATATGTCTTGCTCTGGTAGCTCTTAGGTTTGTGAGCTCTTGATCAAGGGGTTTTCCTTCAGTCTGGCAGCTCCTGTTCCTTTTGTAGTGTAGTTACTGATCTGGTAATCGTATTCGGATCAGAGCCACTTGTTTTCAAATCTTGCAGATCAAATAAAAAAACATCGTAGAAAGAGAACATGCTAATCACTTTAGGGAAATCAAAAGCAAAACAGGGAAGATTGGGACTTTGCTAAGGGGGGCCTCTCTAGAAAGGGGACTCAACCCCTGGGACACCAGCAACCCCTGGGACATGGTCATGCTTCCTAACAGGCGGAGTCCTTCCTTTTGTGCCATCTCTCAGGTACCAGCACATGTTCTGTTTTGTCAATAATGTAAAGGCTTCAAGGTCAAGAAAAGCCACAATGGTGCCTATTCTGAAGTCAAACAGACAGAATTGAAGCTCATGACTTTGCACAGTGCCTGGCTCCCCAGTGGCCAGAGGACTGTCACTCACATTGAGTCAGAGGCTCATTGTTCTTTGGCTATTTCCTAGAACCACAGTAAACCCTTTTGGGAAGTCGCATTAGCCATCTTAGGCAGCAACCCTTAAGGTCACCAGGGTACACTTTAATAAATTAGTGTCCCGGTGGAGTGACTTAATTTCAGGAAATACCTGAAGCCCTAGGAAACCCTGATTCATGGTCTGTTGTCCCTGCCACAGTAAAATGTAAACTCCAAACCTATGCACCAAAGTGTCCAAAAGGGTCCATTTGCCCTTTCTTAATTACCAAATAAATGGGTCTTTTATTTCAGGTGTGTTATCCTGAATTAAAGACAGGACACTAAGACTCAGATTGTTGAAGGTTCTCCATCATGTCAACTCATGCTCCTTTCAACGCAGTCTCATGATAGGCACAAAGCCTGGCTTCTCCAGGAGTTCTGTGCAGAAAGGGCTGACTATGAGATGGTTGCTTAGGATTATCTGAGTTACTCAGGATTTCATGCCGTGAAGATTCAGTGACCCTTCCACTCTTCCTTGTCACTGTGTCAGTATTAGAGTTATGTAAATTCCACTTTCCTCTGTGCTAAGCAACTCATCCCAGAGTTGGTATGTATTGTAACACACACACACACACACACACACACACACACACACACACACACACACAAGGAAAGAGTTTCTTGTCAGTACTGATAAAGACCATGAAGGCACCTTTGTACTCGTTTCTGGAACTTTAAACAATATGATTTCTATCTGTTTTCTAGAAATCACCAGTAGAATCATTCTCTTGAGGCAGGTGGCTTAGAATAAACTGCCGTCTGCCCTGGGACTCAGAAAATCAATAATTGCCAATGTGATTTTGCTGATACCCTGAGTAAAACTGTGCTGGCAGACTGTCAGCCCACTTACATTGAAACACAGCCATGCTCTTGATTCTTTGAGACTGTTCTCACAGTAGGACAGCAGAATTCACCAGTTATAATAGAGACCATATTTACCATTCAGGCCATTGCAAATAAAACCCCCCAAAGAATCTTCCTTTAGTCTTTGAGCTGAAAACATGTCCTACAAAATACAAAAGCACAATGTTGGTAGTCTGTGCACTGTGTGTGCAATTTAGCATTGTACATCAGACAAATAGCATTTGATCCCTCTGCTTCCCTGAAATTAACACTGAAATGTGAGGATAACTGAATTACAATTGATAGCAGCTTTCCTCTCTGCTTTCCAGAAATATAACAATGATTGGTGGATAGGAAGGCTGGTGAAAGAGGGCTGCGAGATTGGCTTCATTCCAAGTCCACTGCGGTTGGAGAACATACGTATTCAGCAAGAACAGAAAAGAGGCCGATTCCATGGCGGGTAACAGCCCATGTTCCTCATGAGCTAGCCCTTTGTTTCTCCCTCCCTCCTTCCTTCTCTCCTTTCCTCCATCCTTCCTTGCTTTTATTTTGTGGGTAAAAATTTCAACTTCCTTATTAAAATCTGGCTGAAGCAGTCATTCTTTTAACTCAACCTCTGTTTTCAGCCGGATTCTCTCTTATCTCAGAAACATGTTCTTTAAGATTCTCTTCGCCTTCACCCCAATGAGAACCTGCTTTTAAAGTGAAGGGATACTTATTTGCACACAGACTATTCTATTTTTTTTTTTAAAACATATCGATTCCAGTTCCCTCTCCCTCCCACCCTCCCTCCTTTCTCCCTTCTTCCCTCTCTCCCCCCTTCACATGCACCCTAATCACCCTCCCACCACCCCCCCAAATCCACATGTAGGGTGATGCCATTAAGGAGGGGTCATCTAAACCTGTCAAGTCATTTGAAGTAGGGAGTAGGACTTCTTTCCTGTCTCTAGGTTAAGGGAATATCCCTCCATGGATGATGTGTCTGCAAGGTCCTTTTGTGCACCAGGAATACATCCTGGTTCCAGTCTGAGGTCCCTTAGACTGCTCAGTCCTTCTGGCTGAGACCCATGTTCAGGGGCTCTGAGTCAATCGAATGCTGGATTCCAAACTATCAGTCTGGGGGGGGCCATTAGCTCCTTCTTGTCCAGGTTAGCTGTCTCTAGCACACAGACTATTCTTGAGGAGGACACAAAGGTTTGGGGTTTAACTATTGCCATTATGTTCTGAACTCCAGCAACTCAGAAAGCCACATGAATTCCACAGTGGAAGCTGCTTCCTGTGGGCTTAGCAAACCCTAGTTTCCCTCTGTGAGAGTTACATGTGGCCTCGTTTCCCAGGACAGCTCAGGTAGCAGCTGACATGACCAAGAGTTGTGGTTTTGCTTGGTTCTCTGTCCAATGAACACAGAAGGTGATGGTGGTGGACAGTCCAGGGGACACTTTCCTCTTCGTGGTTTCTTGTGCCATCTTCTTCTGCTGACACCGTGCTAAAGACACTGGGGAGCTGCAATGTACTAGCCTCTCGTGGTCAAGGGAAATGGCACACAGACTTCAAAGCACAAGAGGCAAGTCCCAGGAGGGTGAGCACAGCTCAAGAGAAGTTCCAGCTGCACTGGGTCTCAGTGGTGCTGCTGTTGTCTCTGAAGCACAGATTGCACATGTGCTAGAATCATTCAAAAGCCTCCAAACAGAGCAAGTTCTGCTACTGTTATCATTGCTGTGAGACAATCTCACTGTGTAGTTCAGGCTTGCCTTTGGTGATGCAATTCTTCTGTACCAGCCCCACACCCTAGTGATGGATCACAACTCTTCATCAGCGTGTCCGGCTGAAGCACTTCTTCCCTTTGATTCAATCTCTCAGTTAACTTTTCTTAATGTTGTGTTATTTAAGTCTCCCTTAGCTTTTATCCAAATGAAAATCTTTCAGTAGTAATGGAAGATCATAGAGGTATAGTTAAGCACCATTCTAATGATTAATCTTGTTAGGGTGGTTTATTATTAATCCTCTGGTTCCCTTTGCTCTAGCCATTTCATCTTCCATGCTTCTTAGCACACCAGGAGCACTTGGCCATTCCCGGGGTATCTTTGCATTCCCATCCTCCTACTGGGTACCTCTTCCTCCTTTGCTCTTAACAGATCACCCCATCTTTCAGGTGCTTGTTAAAGTTCCAGTGACTTCCCCACTGTGTTTTAAGTTGTATTCACTCCAGACTTAGCCTTTCCCTGCATTTTCCCATCTCTCTCCAATGTAATTGTTTCTATTACACTTACTACTCTCAGAAATATTAGGTATTTACCTATTTATCTTGTTTAGCCTTAATTATCTCCTACTAGAGAGTGGCTCAGTAATAACTCCCATCATTGTTGCTGTTATTCACACACACACACACACACACACACACACACACACACACACACTTTTTACTTTGAAGAAAGAAAAACAATAAAACCAAAGGTTCGTTCACAGAAACTCATTTGTCAGCTTATCTTTATAAGGTATAGATAACTCCTATGTCCATAGATGAGGAAAACAAACACTCAAAGATGACATGTCACAGTGTGTTTCACACCCAGTAAGTGACAGAACTGCTCATCATTGGCTATAAACATACATGACTTACTATTGATAGTCCCATTACTGTTGACAGCAGGAACAGTTCATGAGATCCACCCTCCCCCCCATACACTTAAGAAGCAGTTCTCCAAGTCCTCTTGCTTGTACTGAGCTGTCTAGCTTTTGACTGGTACTTCAGTACTTGGATTCAAGTAAACACACAGGCTCAAAGCGCATCCTTGCCAGGGGTCCTTCTGTACAATTTTCGCATGAATAACAGGGAAAGAGAATTTGCAAAGTATTTCCAGGTCTCAGATCTCCTCTTTCTCTGAGAAATGAGGTCAGCGAAAGCATTTGAGCAGATTCCCGTAGCTCTTCTAACATGCTTTGGTATGTTTTGAATTATTTAGTAGAAGGCCAAAGAACACCTTGGATTCTCGGTTTCTGTTTTCAAAGGATCTGGGGCGAGAGTCTTAAGTTTGTTTCCATGGTCTAGGAAATCCAGTGGAAACTCCTCCTCCAGTCTGGGAGAAATGGTGTCAGGAACATTTCGAGCGACCCCCACGACAACAGGTGAGCCATCTTGCTACTAAACATCAGAGCAAACATTCATTTGGTTTGGAAATAAAGGCTTGGCCTAAGATTTAAAGCTTCTTTCCTTTAAGATTTCCTTGCTCATTTGAATTGAAAGGCACTAATGATGTAAAAATTCAGGTCATCAGTATAATTTTGAAAAAAATCTCATTCACAGCCCCCCCATATAGCCACTAACTCTACATATTTAAATCAACCTCAAGTTCATTATTCTACTGAAGAACTCAAGATACTTCAAGATTAAGAGGCCCATAGAGGTAAAAGCTCATGGACTCTCACAACAATGTTCAGTATGAACACTGGGACGAGGTTGTACATACGGGGTCAGCCCCCTGCAGCCAAGATTACCTTGTCTTTATATTTGGACATCAGACAGTTCCAGCTGAGTCCTAGAATTAATGCAACGAAGAAACAGGGTATCTCAATGAAGACTCTGGATGTCTTTGGATATAATGAAGATAATCTCCTAGAAGGTTCTCTTCCATCACATTCTCTAACTCCTGCAAGCTAATTTCATTCTTGCCAGGAACTGAGTCTGTATCAGAGCACTGATGTCACTAGTGTGGAAGTAGGCCAAGGCTCTGCAGCTCATGTCCAGACCTGGTTCATTCTGGAACAGTTCTGAGGGCTTGGTCCTTGCTTGTGAGGATTCATTCTGTCCCTCTAGGTGACCCCATGTAGACAGGACCTGATGCTTGGATGGCAGCAAAGCCACCTTCATTGGTTGTGGAATAGGCTCTGCCTTCTGTATGTTTGCTGGACACCAGGGCACTGCAGCAGCTTTCCACTCTTACCAGCTGGAGAGGACAGAGGAAACTGGCTGTCCAAGTGTTAAGAGGAGCATAGTAGAAACAGCTGTATCAGTATTCAGGAGAAATACCTGAACATCTGCAATATTGCCTCATGGTTCACCAAACTCCCAAGTGCAAAACAGTAGCAACAATAATGATAATAGTAACTCTTGAGGCGACAGTAATTTTGCTGACAGTGTGTTTTCTTTTTACTATATTTCCTTTAGCCAGCTTGCCCTCAGCTTCATATGTACCACATCCAATGTGGTCATTCCCATGGTTAATGGTTATCTAACAATGCCCAGTGTTGTTCGAGTGCCTGTCCCAGCCTCTCACAGGAAATCGTGGTGTACAGTCATTGGTGCAGGGAGGAAGCTGTCCGTATTTCATATTCTTACAAGTAGGATGCCCAGAGTGAGGTGGCAGGGCAGTGATCTGCTGAGTGGGTGCAGGGTAAGCACAGAGGACAGTTACAGGTCACCTTCTTCCATCTTTTAAATTCGTGTGCTGTCATTTACAGAGATTGCATATTTTGATGTGGTTCTCATTGTTGTCTTTTAGCGAAACAGAAGCAGAAAGTGGTAAGTTGTGTTTCCTTTTTAAACTCCTGCTAAGGTTCCTATCTGCACATGCCTGTGATGCTCCATTTCCGTGACCCACGTACCTATAAAGTGAGGGATGGGCCTCCTCGGTGGGGACCCTTAGTCATCACTTTCTGTCCAGCCTGAGAATTCTGGATGTTGTGGCTGTCAAGGACATAGGCCCAGCCTCACTCATGTCAACTCGTCTTTTTCAGACGGAGCACATTCCTCCTTACGATGTCGTGCCATCGATGCGTCCTGTGGTATTAGTGGGTCCTTCATTGAAAGGTTATGAGGTACAAATATCATCCATTACTCTCCTTTTCTTAACCAGGGACCCTGGGGACTATCCTTTGGCGGCGTCTGGCCCCTCCAGGGTCTGTTTACAGATAGGAGGTGGTAGGAGGCAGCTCACTGTATGTGAAGGTGGGTGGTGGGGGAATCCAGGAAAACTAGATTAAACTCTGCAGAGCAGTTTGACATTGCCATGTAATAAAGAAGAGTAAAGATTATGCTGCGTGATAGCTCAGATTTCGCCATTCTGACTTTCTGCTTAAATGGATAAGACAGGTGGGGTGTGAGATCTAAATCTGAAGCTGGGCAACCTTCAAGCCAACCATCCCTCCCTGTAGGGTGATATCTGTTGGAAGGAGGTATTTAGTATTCATTTGTTGAATGAGCTAACAACTGTCCTGATGCAGATCTAAGACTCTCATTTCTCTTTCTCTCTCTGAGTTGGAAATGTCAGAGAGACATAGCCCTGTCATGTGAAGATGGCCAGCACCCTTGTGCATAGCCAGCTACATCCTAAGGGAAGTAGGAGGAGGGTTTGCGGGGATCCTGGTGAAAACTGTGGGTTCATTCCTCAGCACCCTGGAGAAGAACCAAGGGAGATACTAGCAGCTGTGTTGATTATCACGAAAACCTACCCTTCGAGAACATCTGTAGCTACCTGCCCTGGAGATGCCTGGCTGTGAGGGGGTCCCTGCTCAGTCACTGTGCCCTTCCCTTCCACCTCTCTCACCGTTGACTTTTCTCTCTGTGTCTCTCTCTCCCTTTGTCTCTCTCCCTGTGTTTGCCTCATTTTCTCTTTCTTACCTCTGCAAAGGTAACAGACATGATGCAGAAAGCACTCTTTGATTTCCTGAAGCACAGGTTTGATGGGAGGTGAGACATACAGATGTTTTTGTATTTTGATTTTTCTTTAACTGAACAAGTATGATAAATTGATATGTGGATCTGTTTCCAATGATTACAGAAATCCAGTGATTAAACTGAACTCAGTGTTCCAGGAAAGTGTTCACTGAAATAGCTATTAAAAAAAATCTATGAAATATGAAGTATTGCATGAGGCCCCCAAGGACAAAATGAAAAGGAAATTAATCCATTTGTTGGGTATAATGTATGTTTGTCTCTATTTTCTCACTTACTAGTGAGTTCATACCAAATTGACTTTCATGAAGAAATTGTTTTAAATGTATATTTCTGATAAATATGATGGTTCACTGGTCATGCTGGGCAGTGTCTGAGAATTTTGTATGTGTGTACATGCATTTATCCATGTGTGTGTGATTCAAAGGTCTAAATATGAAGCACTTTGCGAGAACGGAATGCTGGAAACAGCCTCCAATAAATAAATAAATATCCTTAAAAGAGGTATGCAATTATTGCTTTGTCATAGCTTTCCAGAGTGACTCTTGAAGGAGACTGCATTTATTTGGATGTTATTTTTGGAAATAACCTTGTTATTTTATAGGTATGTTTTACAGGTCCCTCTGTAAGCCATCATCAATATGGCCAAGCTCTCAAATAAGTTTATGCTTCAGTTTTGTGGAAAATGTCTAGAGCTCTTAAGCTTTCTAGAGAAGTGATAAAAATCTGTATTGATTCAACAATGAAAACATGATTGTTCACAATGTGGAATGTGTTCCATATAGAAACAACCACTTAGTAAAACTAAAGATTTATCAGCAGCAAACTTATATAGTGCATGTTGAGAAACCTGGGCAGTATATCGAGGTTATCCCTTTAAACTGAATAATTCTTTTTAAAAATTTAAACATTTTTCCTACCTTCACACTGTAGAAAAATAAAAAAGTTGAACATTTAAAAATATTTAAATACTTTTAAATTTTAGAGTTTACTTAATTTTAAGAAAAGGCAAATATGGTCATGCTTTAAGCACAAATTGTATGTATATAAAATAAGTATACTTTCATACAAATATTTTTGTGTACTTATAATTCGTTGAAAGAAAAACCTTATATATAGTCATGTGAAAATAGTCACTGGTTTCTAAGAATAGATACAGTGAAAAGAAGCCGAGAGGCTTGAGGGATAGTTTAGTGGATAATAGTGCTTGCTGCACATACAAACACAAGTACCTGAGTTCAAATACCCAGCACTCACATAAAACACAGCATTGCCTCTCATGTGCGCGTAACCTCAGTGCTGTGTAGATAGAGATAAAAGCATCTCTAGGGCTGGCTCCTAGAGCACCCCCAGGTTTATGAACGATACTGTCTCAAATGAATATGGTGGAAAGTGATAGAACAGGATTCCCAAAATCTTCCAGTAAGGACACCCGCATATCACACACACACACACACACACACACACACACACACACGAAGCTGAGATTGATTTTACTTCTAGTAATTGAGAATATTATTTGAGAAATGGGAATGCTTTTGTGCCATCAGGTACATGATTAAATGTAAAGCCAAGTCGCCTTAGTAGTAGACCCCTAGATACATAGTGATTTGAACACACTGGATGCTTAATTTTACTCACTAAATGGTTGGAGACAGGGATTCCTGTTGGGGAAGAACAGGTAGGTGGGGAGGGGAATCCCAGGCACAATGTTTACCTCACTTCCCATTTGGTGCCCTTGGCCTTTGACTGGGCTTTCTAGTCATATGTTAACAGAGAAAGGGACTCTGGGGCCTGGAAACAGTGCACATAAGGGCTGATTTCATTAGCTAGAAATTGGTTATGTGGCCATTCTTAGTTGCAGAGGACTCTGGGAAGTACAATTCAGCTATATACTTCAGATGAAGTTTGCCTCTGCTGTAGTTATCTGTAATCTAGTCGGAGCACAGAGTTGGTAAGAGAGGCATGGTTATTCTCTCTCCCTCTCTCTCTCTCTCAAGACAGGTCTAGAATGTTATGTTACTAGGGAATTCATTCTCTCTCTCTCTTTCTCTCTCCCTCACTCTCTCCCTTCCTCCTTCTCTCTCCCCCTCTCTCTCTGATGACAGGTCTAGAAAAGATTCTGGCTACTATGGAATTCATGTTCTCTCTCTTTCTCCCTCCCTTCCCCCCCCAAGACAGGTCTAGGAAAGGTTCTGGCTACTAGGGAATCATGCTTTCTCTCCCTCCCTTCCCCCCTCTCTCTGAAGACAGGTCTAGAAAGGGTTCTGGCTACTAGGGAATTCATGTTCTCTCTCTCTCTCCATCCATCCCCCCCCCCTGAAGACAGGTCTAGAAAAGGTTCTGGCTACTAGAGAATTCATGTCCTAAAAATGCATTGCCAGGAAAGAACTGGGCTCTAACTTTCCATCCTGTCCTGGTGGTGTTCTGGGCCATAACTCTGATTCACAAGTGCTTCTGTGGATGGAAGGCAGCTAACCTGAGTGATCTTCTGTTCTTGGTTACATTTACACAGTTCCTTCAGCTATGTGTGGGCTCAGTGGTTTTAATCAGAAGTGCCTTCTGTGATGCCCCCTCCTCTAATTCCATATAACCTTTGATTTAAGCAAATTCTACCCTACAACACTTGTGTTAGTTGTTTTGTTCCCAGGTAACATTCCTATGAACAATATTATTAAAGGTTAACTGCACTGATGAGGATGAAGAAATGGCTTCAGAATATTTGGCAAAGGAAAGGTTGAATGTCTGAAATACTGGCTTCAGGAGAGCAGGCTCATGGCGTCCTTAACCGGAGGGCACAGAAGAGGATGCTCATTTAGTTTCAGCACGGAGTTGTCCCAAGTCAAGTAGAACTATCTACACTATTGAGGCTTCTTTCAAATTAAAGATAGAATTACCATTCCAGTGCCAAGTTTCCACTGGGTCTGATGATGACAGAGTCTGGGGGAGGGAACCCAGCAGCAGCTAGAGTGACAGCTGGAGAAAGGCAGGCCTGGAGAAGTCTGATGCACAGAAGTTCTAGGGAGAAATAGGTAGTAATGAAGGGACTGAGAGAGTAAAATTTCTTTCATATGATGAGAAGAAAGTGCCAGAGGATAAATCAGTGAGCCCACTGGTGAGTGACTGAGGACAGTTGGGTAAGGAGGAAGCTGGCCAGGAGATTCTCACAGATGCTAGCACGTCTTCTGTGTGGGGGATGTTGTGATTTGAGCTGTGACAATCTGCTGTGTTGTGTTTTTACCAATTAATAAAAGGAGGGAAAACAGCACATAGTTTTTAGTTGAAATCAGCCAAGAGAACAATTACACCAAAAACTGACTCAACATCAACGGAACAGCATAAGCAGCACCATCTAAGGGAAGCCTGTTCGGTGTTTCTTTGGCTGCAGTAGGGTAGACAGCATAGCCAGGAGAGTGGCCCATGCTTTTCAGAAAGAGCAAATAAGAAGTCCGTGAGTTAAGAGGCTTTCTAATTCAGTACTGCTTTTCAGGTCCCAATTCTAAATTAATTCAGTGGAGTAGATGAAACCCATCTGTTTGACTGTAACAGAAGCAAAAGCTTAGATGGCTTTTCTTTTGACTCCTTAGAAACATGAGTCACTTTAGACCTATTTTTTACTTAGTTTGTTAGAGTCTAACTGCAGCACATGTAAGAAAAATGAGACAAAAATGCAGTAAAAAGTTACTCCCAAAGAGTTATCGTCAATGTCCCCATGCAGGATTGAGTCCTGTCAGTGATTATGGAGCAAGTGAGTCAGACAATGTGCTTCAGTGACACTTGCCTGCATGGACACAGTGGGAAGCGGATATCTCTGTGTCACACCACAAACACCATCCAGAAGCCATCTTTTCCATCGAGGTTTATGCAGCTGGGCAGTCCACCACTGTCAGGCTGAGCAACTGCCTCGCCAGCTGCAGCTTTCTGACTTTCTGACCACGTGTTTCAAGCCCCCCAAAAGTTGTCATCTAGGCTTTTAATACTTTGAATTCATTGTTATTAGCTCAACACTGGGTTTCATAAAGACAGCCTTAGGCTTTTCTGACTACTAGGTAGCTCTGTTGAATCATGCTGTGTCCGAAAACCATAAATGAATACTATAGAGCCTACAGGGATAAGGTCCTAAAGTAAAGGAAACTATTACTCAAGCACCATGTAAACTAAAACAAACACACAAAACAAAACAACCCCAAACTGTCAAGTGGAAAAGAATTTGAAAGAGAAGAATTTAAGCATACAACTTAGGGAGGTGCTAAAAGTTAGTACTGAATTTGTTAATGAAAGAAAACATGGATTGATGACATCACAGAGCTGCCCTGCCATGTGAGTTTGAAAAGTGTTTGCCATTGCAGTTCACAAATGAAAAAGGAAACTTCTATCTCAGCACCTACCATGATTCTCTCTTCTAGTGCTGGCCTCAAACACTGCAGATAATGGAACATTTTTGTGCCAACTTGAATGTTTAAATTAATAGAGGTTGATTACACTGTGTCTCACTGTGTTCCCCAAAGTTTTGTATATATACAAGTCTTATCTGCTCTGGGACAGGAGAGTCCATAGTGATGGACTGCTAACTTCTGAAGATAAGATTTGGGGAAACTATTCCCCAAGAGTCTCTGCATTTCTAACAACTGCTTTCCTTGCATATTATTTATTCACACACACACACACACACACACACAGAGAGAGAGAGAGAGAGAGAGAGAGAGAGAGAGAGAGAGAGAGAGAGAGAGAGAGAGAAGCATGGTCTCATTATGTGTGGTGTTATTTTGTTTGTGCTCTAACAATTAAAGCTTTCCTGAAGATCAGAAGTTAACCATAGAGGCCAGGCAGTGGTGACACACTCCTTTGATCCGAGCATTTATGATCTCATGCCTTTGATCCCAGTAAATGGGAGACACACACCTTTCCCAGCACTGGGGAGGTGGATAAAGGAAGTGATATGGCTGGGTGGAAGGAGGAATATAAGGCGGTAGGAGACAGGAACTCAACCCTTCGGTTTGAGGTTAAAGGTAAGGTAGAATTAAGAGGTCTGTCTAGTGGCTGCTCCTTTACTTCTCTGATCTTTCAGCATTTACCCCACTATCTAACTCCAGGTTTAAATATTAAAACCAATTAGAATTCGTGCTACCATTACATAGCCTTTGATAGCCTGGAACTTGCTATATAGACCAGGCTAGGGTTGAACTCTCAGACAACCACCTGCCTCAGTCCCCAGGTGCTGGGACTAAAGGTGTGCACCACCACATCCAGCCCTTTAAGGCAATGTATAGAAGGAAGGTTAATTGGGAGCTTACAGTTCCAGAAGGATAGGGGTCTAGTACAATCATGGAGGGGAGCAAAGCAGCAAGCAGGTGACAAGCTGGAAACTGAGAGCTGAAGGCTGACATCTGGAACCATTAGCTGAAAACAGGAAGAGTGAATTGGGAATGGCATGAAACCTTAGAGTCGGCCTCCTGCGATGTACTTCCTTCAGAAGGGCCACATCTCCTAAGCCTCCCCAAGCAGTGACACCAACTAGGGGCCAAGTATCTAAATGTCTGAGAATATGGAGACATCTCAAACCACTACAAATGCTAACAACAGTCTAAAAAAAAAATCAGTTTTTTTGTATTGCCTTCTTTGCCCATAGCAGGAATCCTTTGGGATACTAATGACAAATCTATTATTGTTTTATTGATTAGGAGATGGAGGCTCAAAAATGCTATAGCTTGGCCTTGAGCATGAAAATTAAAAGAAAGATAGAGGGGACCGTAGGGTCTTCCCGGGCCTTCCTCCCTGCTCATCCTGCTTTGGAACACTTTGCCTGTGAGCACTAGGAGGTTAAAAATATGTATTCTGCTGAACTGGGCTTCTTACTAATTAGCCAGAATAGAAATGGGTCTTCCAGCTGTTCCATTAGCAACATGGATTTTTGAATGGATGTGTCACAACTGAAAGAAATATCTTCCCATAGAAAATCTGCAGGAGTTCACCTGCCACCAAGCCTGGTGTCCTGAGTTCTATCCCCCGGCCTCACATTGTGAGTGGAGAGAACAGACTCCTGCAAGTTGTCCTCTGCCTCCACTAACACACTGTGGCATGTACATGCCTACTTCCCCACCCCCATATAAATAAAAATGTAAAAAAAAAAAATGTCACCAACTCAGTTAAATCCTAAGGTAGAAACATGCAGGAGTTAGAGTGCAGACTGAGTGGATTTAGGGAGTGGTTTTTGCTGGGTGTCAGGGACATTAGCTGCTACACCCTTCTTCGGGGAACTGAACTCCTGTTGACCTCTCTGTACTGTACTTGGTGAGGTTGCCAAGGGAACATTTTGAAGAAGGTATCAAGATGCACAGGAAAATGCTGGAAGCCCAGGTGGATGAGGAAACAAGAGAAGGAGGAAATGTACCATTAGTTTAAAAGCATAATAAATTAGAAAACACTAGGTGATGAGTGCAGTCACTTCTCTGAGGGCACTTTTATTTCAGAGTAAAGGAACTGAGGTCTGGTATTCAGTTTTGATTATATGAAGCCTTACGAAAGAAGAAAACCTTGTGTGTCTGACTGTCAGAGTTCTAGAGCTGAGCCAGCCCCTTCCTGGACTCAACTCGTGTGTGTGCGTGTGTGTGTGTGTGTGTGTGTGTGTGTGTGTGTGTGTGTGTTGTGTATTTTGCTGACAGACAACATGTATTATCAATGGAGTCTTTTTTAATTAGAAAATAAAATGAGAAAAAAGAGTGTTTTGTCACCCACAGAGTTTTCTCTGTTTTTGTTTGTATTTTTTTGTTTTTGTTTTTACATTTAAAGCAGCCTTTTCTGTATATGTTAAAAATTGGTTGTATTTGCATGGCTTTGTAAAAGTGATTTTATGACACAGGGAAATCATTTGTCAATGATTTCTCCAAAATATTAAGGACCAGGACTTACTATTTGGCTTCTGAAGAATTAGGAAATTCTGGCACAACAGAAATAATTTCTGGAAAATTGGATCCCGTCCTTGAGTCACTTGTCTGTTGTCGTATACATGAATTGTTCTGGACTATGATAGGATGTTTCTATCCAGTTGCTCCATTCTTTAACAAACAAGAAACCCGGAGCCACAATTAAACAGGAGGCCCTGTTCTGTAGGGAAAGAGTGCTACCTGGAAGACATTGCATCTCCTAGCTGCTTGAGCAGGGCGTAGCAGCTAACACCAGCACTCAGGAGGCTAAGGCAGAACAGCTGCTGCAAGCCTGAGGCCAGCCTGGGCTACATACAGAATGAGACTCTGCCAAAAGAACAAAGAAAAACGCTGCAGTGGAAACTCATATGTGGGCACTCTTGATTTAAACCTCGTTTGAGCCCGTGTTGTTACTGGGAAACAAAATTGAACTGAAAGAGAATTGTCCAGCCACGTAACTAGGACTCATCCTGTGTTCAAGGTCTCCTAGACATCATTGCCTGGAATAAACCAGTGGATGATCTCTGTGTCTCAGTTTCCTTCCTGGTAAAATGTAGAAGTTGTTACACAAGTGTTTTCTGATGTCACGTAGCAATTGAACTTTCCCCTTTTGCGTTTCTTTCTTACTTTCTTACTTTCTTTCTCTTTAAAAATGATGAAGCCATGAGGGAGCTCCAAGTAGAGGACAGAAATTCAGAGGTACAAGCTGGAGGACCACACATGTTAGCATTCACAGTGGGCCCTGGGAATCTCTGCACAGCTTTTGACTCTATGCAGGCTAATTTGAGGTGGCCTCCAATAATATCAAGGCATAAAAATCCAAAATGTTAAAATGCTGCAGTGTTCCAAGCACCAGCTCATAAATGCCACAACCCAGTACCACTTGGCTTCAGAACCCTGCTGGAACTTCCGCACACCCTGTTGCTTTAAAGATGTGACTTATAAGCTGGGCACAGTAGCCGGTCCCGATGGTTCCAGTACAAGGGAGCCTGAGACAGGAGGATTATGAATTCAACATTATCCAGATCCATATAGTGAAACCCTGCCTAAAAATTATTTTTATTTCTAAACATTCATGAAAAGGGAAATTTTGGGTTCTTCCCAAAGCTTCTGATCGTTTGCATCTCCAGACAGTATTAAAGTGTCCTAACACAGGAATGAGAGGACATGGAATTAAACATAGCCTTCTTTCTGTGCTCTGACCCCCAAAGGAGTTTGACTGTGGAGAAGAGTAAGTCTACTCTGAGGAAAAGGGGAAGTGGTTTCTTTCCTTTCTGAACTCAGCCAAGCTGAGAGGATGAGGGTAGGGAAGGTCCGTGGATTTCTATAATTGGCCCGGGTGAACCAGCTTTGAGTTCTACAGACAATAGCTGGGAACTGAGCACTCTCAGTTAAAAATTATTTTAAAGTCTATGTGCTTTCATTTGATATTGCATCTTCTGGTTGCCTCTCTCTCTCCATGTTCTATTCTACTGTGCAAGGTGTGTTCTAACTTACAAAACTCCAGTCTCATGCTCACACTGACTTCAGCCATTGGGGTTTCAAGCGCCCACCAGATGTGCTCAGATCCTGAGTAAACACACTGAGGCTCCTGTGCCTGAAAAAAAAAAAAATGAAATCTTGTTTCTCACATCCTTGCTGGCAAAGCTCCTTTGGGCCTGTGGAGAAAAGCTTCATGTATCAGGGATTAACCATTGAGCCAAGAAACACAATGTAAATACCGACTGGTTAATTTTTTTCTGTGATCAATTGAGGCTTTTCCTGGCCAGCAATGCTGGGGCAGAGCACTTGTGGGTCCTGAAGGTCTTGTTCAAGACCAAGTCAACTGTGAATTCTGAGGAAACTGTAAAGCTATTTCCTAAAAAGAGCATGGCTAATTCATGTTTTGATTCCCTCCTGGTGTGGTGTATATGTATTAAAGGCAACTTGGCCAGGCAGGCCATAGTGCAGGGAGTGCATTTTTCACTGGAGTGGTTTTCAGCTAAGGAGCCATAGCCTGCTGTCATTTACCCTGTTTGTGTTTTAATATGAGCCAGAGTCTGTTGAAAATCCTTGTGGCCAATGTTTACTATATAGTGGTTCCATGGTAGTATGTAAAGTGGCTATAAGTCCCTCAGAAAGCCACTTACCATTTTTACTGGCTTGTTCTATTCTGTGTTCCTCTTCCTAGGATATCAATAACAAGAGTAACGGCTGACATTTCTCTTGCTAAGAGGTCTGTCCTCAACAATCCCAGCAAGAGAGCAATAATTGAACGTTCAAACACCAGATCCAGCTTAGGTAAGGCATCTTCATACAGGTATGGGGTATGTGTGTAGGGAATGTCTTCATCTGCATGGAGACTTGTTGAATACCTGCAGAGAAAGCCAGCCAATGGACAGGAGAGGGACAGAGTCCTGTAGCAGCCAACAACCCCCCCCCACACACACACATAAACATACTCTACTACTTGTCTCAGATCTCATCTATTAGCTAAACAGCAGTCTGGTGGGAAAAGGCCTTCTTAAGTTCTGCTATTCAGTTACTGCTGAACCATGGGAAACCACCCATTTCCTTTTTCCTTGAATATCACAATAAGGTTTCTGTCACAGGAAATGAGATGGTTTTAAGGGCAAGGCAATGATGCTCTTGTGTGGCTAACTGGTATACCCAGAGGCATCACACCTATCAGTAGTAATGGTGACCACCATGATGAACATTCAGGGAACTTAAACCTGTCTTTTCTGGGTACTTTTTGTAAAACATGTTAAATACCTCCCACAAAGGACAATAAAAGGTTGTAGTGATTGGGGTATGAATAAAGTGAGTCACTTTGGGAAATGTTGCCTTCAGCCCATGGAAAAAATAATGACAGTTTTGGAAGCTGAGTGATGGTATGCATACCTATAATCCCAGCATGTGGGAAGTGGAGTCAAGAGGACCAGGAGTTTAAGACCAGGCTGGACTTCGTAAGACCTTGTCTCAAATCACAAACACCAGAGTCAACTTGGGCACAAAGAGCATCACCAGTCACCATCTCCAGTCTAGTGATAAAGAATATGTGTTAAGGGCCTCTAACCCAGGAGTCTATGACTGTCCCAGCTTTGCTTGCCTGTAATAGATTTACAAAGAAGCTTCCATCTTCCATTAGAAGCCCCCTAGGAACCTGTCTGAGTAGCCAAGATGGTTAGTTTTCTTGAAGAAAATGAGCTTGGTAGATAAAAATTCCTTTGTCTTCCTTGTTCCTGTAATTTGCTTATTACCTTCCCGATGCATATTTTCTGAACACTGGGCTCATCCCGCTGTGTAATTCAGCCTTCGTCCATCTCCCCAAGCTCCACACTGCCTATGCTGCAGTGCGGCTGCCCCAGGGATTCTGTTGTTTCGGCAGTGGGCATGAACCAATGTGCCCGCCAGCTCATTGCTGGTGCAGAGCAAACAAAACCCAGGAATTTCTCAGCTATTTGGAGTGCCTTGTGGGCTTCTTGTATAGAACTGGCAGTCCAGTTTCTATATTTTTGTTCCTTGAGAAAAATACTAAATGCCATTTTACATTATTTTACAATAATATGTGAGACTGGAAACTAAAATGTTAAAAGCTTGTTTGTTCCATCATGGTTCCGCCTAGAAGCTCCTTTAAAATTTTGGCAGACTAAAGTACAAATAGAGGACCTACTACACCTTCCTTCTGCTGAAACTGGCTGCAGTAAAAACTGGCTTCATTTTCCAAATGCCCTTCTTGAGAAAAATTTCTATTTAAAACTGACCTGCTAGAAAAAAAAAAATATGTGTTTATTATTACTAACAAATGTAGACGACTATTTCATAAGAATTTGGTCACTAGAAAATCATTGTGGAGGCTTTCAGTACATTGTTGTTTGATAATGTGATGGCAATATGTGTTTTAACTCCTTAAAATTGTGTTTTTAAAGAGTGTGTGTGTGTGTGTGCGTACTCATGTGCGTGTGTATGCACCACATATTTGAGGATGCCTGAGAAGGTCAGCAAGGTTGGCTTGCCCCCTGGAGCTGGGGTACAGGTGGTTATGAGCTGTCCAATGTGGATGCTAGAACTGAGCTTGGACCCCTGGAAGAGCACCAAGTGCTCTTAACTCTTGGTCATTGCTACAGTCATACTTTTTAATGTCTCAGGGTGACCTTGAAGCCATGGTCCTTCTGCCTCAGTGTCCCAAGAATTGTCATTGCAGCACTGCCACGCCAAAAGGCTTTTTGAGGCTCAGAAAAACATGTACTTTGATCATGTGTTTTCAAACACACACACACACACACAGAGAGAGAGAGAGAGAGAGAGAGAGAGAGAGAGAGAGAGCCTGTAAGCCATGCACATGCACAGTAGCAGACACCTGTCATCACAGTACTTGGGAGGTGGAAGCAGGGGGCTCAAACCAGCTTGGGCTACATAGTGAGGCTTTGTCCCAGAATAAATGAATATAGCTGGATTACTTCAGACATGTGGAAAGAACTAGCATTTTTATCTGACCAATTTAGAAGATGCAGATTTGAGTCACCTGACTATTACATTCAGCCAGCTAAGTTTGAGTCAAGATGCAGAGCTGCATTTTAATATGATCAGCTCTCTCTCTCTCTCTCTCTCTCTCTCTCTCTCTCTCTCTCTCTCTCTCTCTGTGTGTGTGTGTGTGTGTGTGATACTTTTGGTAACTATACCTTAGACAGCTCTACCAGCTCTAAAGCTTAAATTCAGCTACACTTGGTAATCTACTGGTTGTCTGAGGACACACAACAATTAGCAAAGACACAAAATGTGTATAGCAGTCAAATCAATACAATTGTTGGATTTTTTCCTTCCAAAATATGCTCTACAGAATATTAAAATATAAGTTATTGACAGAAATACTTCATTGTCACTTTCAGTCTCTCTAATGTGTTTGCTAAAGCAGTTCTTGTTAAAAGCAACCCCAAAATGGAATGACTATAGCTATATAAATAGCTCCATGCTAGGCTGGGTATACGAAGCAAACCAAGAGAGCTGGCTCAAGTTCTTATAACAATTTGTTTAATTCTATGAACAATTTAAGCTTCAGAAGAACGTTGTGTGGTGCACACCTTTAATCCCAGCACTTGGGAGCCAGAGGCAGCCAGCCTGTTGACATAACAAGTTCCAGGCCAGCCAGGGTTACATAATAGTCTCAAAAGAAAAAAAGAAAAAGGATTTTGTTAGACATGTTCTGCAATAGGGATGTGCACATCTGAGAGCTTATACTATTTCTTTTTAGTATAAATAATAATTATTGAGACTAACCAGTACCTGCCATTTATTGTTTCCCCTTTTAGCGGAAGTACAGAGTGAAATTGAAAGAATTTTTGAATTGGCAAGATCTTTGCAACTGGTTGTTCTTGATGCAGACACCATCAATCACCCAGCACAGCTTATAAAGACATCCTTAGCTCCTATCATTGTCCATGTGAAAGTCTCATCTCCAAAGGTAATCACTGCATTCCTGTCTGTGGGTCTTGAAGCTTCCTTTCTTAGGTTCTCTAGTGCTGCCCTTTTAGTTTGTGGGCAGAAGAATGTCTCAAGAGGCGGTCAATGAATGCATTTTAAACAGTTCTATGGATTTGATGGTGGCTGAGAATAATCCATCTCTTCGAGAGGCTCCTGCCTCCAGTCAGAGATGATAAAATACAAACAAGAACACAGGGAAGGAAAAAAAAAAAAAAAAAAAAAAAACGTGGACCCTGGCCTTTTGTATGCTATTGATTCTTGAGTCACCTATAGTATCTGCCCAGTTGAGAGAGGGAGTACATAGTTCAGCAAGATAACTTATGTAAGATAAAAAAGATCACTGTGTAAACATCTCTTATGTACTACAGACTTTGTCATTTGTGCGTAGCTGGGTTCTTTGGGGAATATAATTCTTTCTTGGTTGAGCACAATTGGTCATGTATGCTACCAGAGTGACAAAAGTAGAGGGAGAGGGCCCAGGCTGCATGGTTGATTTTGATGTCCTTTTTTGTTTACATTTATTTAATTTTTTTTTAGTCTCTGTGTGCATGCACACTTGTGCTGTCACAGCATATATGAGGAGGTCAGAGGACAACTTGTGGAAATAAGTTCCCTACTTCTACTGTGTGGGCTCTGAGGATTAAGCTCAGGTCATCAACCTTGGTAGCATTCACCTTTACCCACTGAGCCTTCTCACCAACCTCCCTTTTGTTCTTAAATAGTGATGATGTTCTAAAAATAAATATGAAATAGATATCCACAAGAGGCATTATTTTTTAATTAATTTATTTTTACATCCAGAACCGTGTCTCCCATCCCTCCAGTCTTCCCATTCCCTTCCCCCTCCTCCCCTCTGCACCCTCCCCTAAATCCACTAAGAGGCATTATCTTAGTAATTCCTTTCCAGTGCCTCCTAAAATGTATTTGGCTTAACTAAGAGCAAACTCAATTCCTCACCCAAACAGTGGTCCCTTCTGTGGTCTTGTTATACTTCCCACGTTCTCAGTATCTTGTAGGGGTCCGATCCTATACAGTAATTGTGGGGATTCCACTGTCAGTTATTTCTCGGGTGTGAATAGAACAGAGCGGCATTGCCTCAACCACTGGAAGTGTCCTTGACTCTAGATGCTGGGGTATCAAGCATCCACTGCAGTGGGGCTAAGGTCACCCCCCACCTCCACTGCCCCATTGCTGTGGTGTCTGGAGGATTAGAGGCTGCATGGACCTGTGTACGAAGGTATCAGAACTTCATAAAGTAGAACCATTGAAGTGGAGAGGGCCCTGCTTCATTCAACCTAAACAAAAATAACACAAGAGAAAGTATATGGCCAAATGCAACTATGGTTATAACCAAAGGCATAGAACACTGTAGCAGTGTTCTAACAGAAATGTTTTACCTAGGTTTCCAGTCCTGAAACAGTTTGATTAATATAAAATTAAAACCGATATCTCATTAATTATTGAAAAAAAGATATACATAAGTGATCTTGATATTTATCTGGCAAAGAGATAATTGAACTGAGTAATATCAAAATATTGACTCCAGATAAGCAGGGACAGAGCAGCTCTTTCCCTTTGACAGGAGGCTGTGAAGTCTGCAAGAGACTTACAAGTCTCTAGGTAGGAAGTAGGGCTGTCAGAAGGACCCCACAGGGAGCTAGGACAGGATGGGATATGTCCCATCCTCTCTAGGCCCACAGTGAGGTGGGCAGCATCATCAGGGAGATTCTAAGTGCACAATTTCTCACATGGTAGGCCTTCCTTACTAATCTTCAGAGTTACATAAGCTGTAGAAAAAGATCTCAGTGTGTTGGTTTTCTTTCAACTCATTGACAATGACTCCAGTTCCTGTCATCCTGTCAGGTTTTACAGCGGCTGATTAAGTCCAGAGGAAAATCTCAAAGCAAACACTTGAATGTTCAACTGGTGGCAGCCGATAAACTGGCCCAGTGCCCGCCTGTAAGTATAATCTTTTCTCTTTTCATCATTGATGGCTAGTAAGAAGAGGTGAGTTTTCCTTTCACTATTAGCAAGATGGTTTTTATCTATGGCAGTGTCCTCAACCTGTGGGTCATGACCCTCTGTGGGTCAAATGACTCTTCCACAGGGGTCACATGGGAAAGTACAGATATTTATTTAAAATTTATAACAGTAGAAAAAGTACAGTTATGAAGTAGCAACAACAATAGTTTTGTGGTTGGGGTCACCACAACATGAGGAACTGTATTAAAGAGTTGTGGCATTAGGAAGACTGAGGACCACTGCTGCAGAGATGGTGGTGATAGTGAGTGGTTTCTTGGAGCAAGATGGTATTGTTACATTGTGTGGGCTCAGGCTTCCAGGAAAGGATAGTGTCTGTCTGGGCATAAGAAGTGAACTTGGAGTCTGAAACCTGCTGTTCTTCCTACTCCCTTCCTTACCTTGCCAGCACTCAGGCACCATATCCAGTCATGGAACACCTGTAAGAAAAGAGCAAAATAAAATGTGCCAGTTTGGCTTTCTTTCAGCATTTCTTCTAGAAGATTCTGGTGGGCATGGAAGAGTGTAATGTTGAGGGTCAAAACTGGATTACAAGTAGAGGGTCTCTGTTCATAACAGATGAAGGGACCAGTGTGGAGGAGTGAAAAACTGTGCTGCTGAGTGTCACTGCTAGAAAACACCTGCAGGGTTAGAAGGCACACACTGATGGACTGGGCTGCGAAAGGTGACTGTTCTCACATGCACTCAAGTCATGTCTGTGCTTGTCCAATTGTGCCCATGTGCCCACGTTTCTCTAAAAGAAATGACATTTTCTTGGTTGGTTCACTAGATTTAAAAATTATGTTTATTTTTATATTTATATTAAACATTGTATTAAATATATGGTATAAATATTGTATATTTATGTTTATTCTCTGTGAAAGTATAGGATTCTATTCAGGTAGGTGGCATAGCATGGCTGTTCAAAGCACAGACAAGCAATATAAACCTGAGCGAGATGCCTGCTGCACAAGGTTGGGGTAAAAATTCAAGAAGCACATGTGTGCATATGTGGAAAAATTCTAAGAATAGTGCATGATATGTGATACATGCTGTCCAGGTGCACTCTGGGCTATGCCACATCTAGTCTGCTAGACTCTGTGAGGATCCACTGTTGTATTGTACTTTCCTGTCCCTTTCATAGTGGGTTCATAGTAAATGTGTGTAGAGGGACTAATGGATGAATGTACAGGTAAGAAAAGCGAAAACTATGATACATCCTTTCATTAGATATTTAACATGGGCCAGACAGCTTCCTGGATGCCTTGTATAAATTATCTGTAATTCTTGCTAGGTGTTTATAAAATACAGCCTAAGCCCCACTTTATTGATGGGGCAACTGAAAACAGCTGATCAGAGAGTATGCTGAGATCTTTGAGCAAGTTGAGATTAGAAGTGGATCTATCTGACTTCAAAGCAGTTTCTTCTCCCAAGTACAGCCCTCCATCACCACCACCACCATCACCACCACTACCACCACGACCACCACCACCCCTGCACCACACACACAGTTATCCAGAGATTTATGTTAAGACATTGATGCCACATTGCCTACTAAGGAAGTCACTTGCAGAGTAGAATGTTTGAGAAAACACCAAGAAACTATAAAAGAATACTTCATCCAACCCTTGGCTGTGCAATGCTTCATAATTGAAGAGAAATAATCTTTACTGGACAGCTACTAAAAGCCAGGAACTATGCTTTTCTTTCTCCTTTTTAGGACAATCTTAGAATGGTAGTTCTAATGGGTATGGCATTTTAGGAAACAGTCACAAAAAATGGAAATATAAAAGATTTATTGGAGAAAACATCTTTTCTCTTTATGTCAATTTATTAACCCTTGGTCCAAATAATTAGTAGAAAAAATAATTTATGTCCTGTTAAAATTGAGGTATTTGTGCTGCTGAGGACATTGTTGAAATTTTAGAGTCAAAGTCTAGGCTTCAGATGCCCTAACAAGCAAGGTCCCAGAGCTTATCCTCAGCATGTCAACTAAAGAAAGAAGTCATGAAAAGCAAAGGAAGACAATTCAATGTGACCACACTGGGAACAAGAACGATGAGATCAGTGGCCCCCTGTGAAGTCCACCTTCAGGATGCTGGCATGAAGTTTAGACTTAGTAAGGGGCAAGAGTTCCTGGTCAGGGTGTGGCCCTGCCCATTGTTGACACATCACCATTGCCATCTGTCTTACAAGCTGTCATCTGTGAAAAACCTCCTCTTAGAGGTCCCCTCTTCCAAATGACTCTAGTTGTGTCTAGTCTAGTCTTAATCCAGGGAGACTGTCTAGATCACTGGTTCTTAACCTGTGGGTCACAATCCCTTTAAGAGGAACAAATGACCCATTCACCAAGGGTTACCTAAGACCATTGGAAAATAGACTTACATTAAATTCACAACAACAAAATTACAGTTATTGTTGGGGGTCACAACATGAGGAACTTTATAAAAGGGTCACAGCATTAGGAAGGTTGAGAACCACCACTCTAGATAGTAAATGGCAGTAGGTTAGTTACTACATATGTTAGGGATTTTGCTGCTGTGATAAAACACTGTGACCAAAAGCAACTTGGGAAAGAAAGGGTTTATTTCATCATACATTGGCCCCCATCATCCAGTCAAGTCAGGGCATGAACTCAAGCCAGAAACCTTGGGGAATGAACTAAAGCAGATGCCAAAAGGGAACTCTGCTTGCTGTATTGTTCCTTTCTAAGCCTGATTTCTTATAGCACCCAGAACAACCAACACAGGGATAGTACTGCCCATAGTACTTGTCTATCATAAATCAAGAAACTTTATGGAGACATTTTTTTTAGTTGAGGTCCCCTCTTCCAAATGACTCTAGTTGTGTCTAGTTGACATAAACCAGCAGCACACTGCATATTCTCCAGAAGAGAGAATAGTGGGTTCCATGGGTAAGGCTTTTACTAGAAGGGTCAGACTTTCTAGCAAAGGGCCAGATCATAACTAATTTAGGTTTGTTGAGACTAGTGGTGTCCTTTATAAAACTATTCAACTTTGCCTTTAAGTAGCCATGTAAACCACAAGGAATGTCTGAATTCCATTCAAACTCTGTGGAAGCAAGGGACAGACCCAATCAATGCAGCTGAAACAAATTCCCACTCTTCTTATCTATTACTGCAAAATAAAATGATCCTAAATATGGCAACTTCAAATGATGTCTAGTAGGTAGCATTCATCTGATGGCTGACTGATCTTTCAGCAAGGGTGAATAGGAGGGACTAGGCCAATTCTTCCTTTGAGCTTAGCCCAGGGCCTTTGTCATGAGCTTTTTATTCTGAAGGGATATGGGCTCTCACATTGTACCTATATGATGAAATACATTCTCCTAAGGTTTCATCTTAGCCCAGCCCAGCATCTCTATAAAATTCAGCTGATCAGAGTGGTCACAGTGGCTACCCAGATCTAAGGAAAGGGAACAAAATTCTCCATCTCAGAACAGGGAGGATCAAGGAATTTGTGGCCATTTAAAAATCTGCTCTAGGTAGAAAAAAATAACTGGAAAAATATTGAGAGGCAAACAGGCACTGGGATGTAGGAGCCATCAGATTCTTTATTGTGTGGCTAGCCAGATTATATTTTCTTTGTGTGTGTCTGCACACCATATTTTAGATTTCAGTTTGTCTTCTTCAGGTATTAGTATCTTTTCCTTTTCAGTGAAGTGGAGAATAGTGCATTTTAAGAAGGCCAAGTTCAACTTGTCCCAGTACTGTAGTAATAAGAGTTGCATAATGCTTGGCAAGAAAAGCCGATAGACAATTGGATGATACATGAAATATAATCCTTTAATCCCACTTAGTTACAAGCTGGCTTGTGTTAGCAAAAGCTGACCTGGTGGCTCTCTGAGCTGTGTAATGGCTTTGTGTGTGTGTGTGAACTGACCCTGATCACTCTTTCTACGAGCAGTGAGTTCACCCTCTCAGCAGAGGCTGGCTTGCAAACCTCTAACAGTTTGAGAACTAGAGTGATTCTCTCCTATACTGCTTTATTTCCCATTGCTGAATGGACTCCACGTCCTTCTGCCATGCATGCACAATCTGAGGGTAATTGTCCACTGCCCAGTTCCAGTGATATTTAAATTATTGAGAGTCCCACATTCATCATCCAATTGACATATTCTCCCCATTGCTGCATGCATTATTATGAAGCCCTAGGTGCCTGCCATTTAATTTTTAACAATGCTTTTATTTTTTTTAAACAGAGTAATCTGTTCTACATCTTCCCATAAAACAAGGCCTCCCAGGATCCGATTTCAGTATACACATTTCTAGAGATTTTAAGCAACCAACCTGGGTATAGCATAGTGAAAATGGTTCCTTCCTATCATGCTATGCTATAGCAGATACAATTGAAATGAACTTAACAAAAACAGTAAATGCCTTCTCCATGGATAACCACACTGCCAGGTGTGGTTTCTGTCTTTGAAGAGTAATAATGGGCAGCATAGAAAGACATGGGGAGGAAAACACGATGGGATTCATAATGAATATCACAAATAGAAGAGGAGCTATAAGGAATCAGTGTCCCTATATTCTTACCTTGGTGTCAACTCCACCAACTAGTGGCAAGAGCTGATTGCCTTTTTTGTTTATTGTGTTAAAGTAGAGTTCCTGCCAGAAGCTGTCATTATTGATTGGCTTTATTTAATCCCCACAGGACCTCCTGGATCTTTAAACAACAACACGCTTAAATGAGGACTCTAGTTTTCAATCAGTGGGTGAGCAGTGAGTTGAGTGCTTAGAGTCTTCAATAATACAAAGAATGCAATCTTGATGTGAAAGTAACATTTACTGGTTGGTTATTATGTAATTAATATTATGTCGAACCAGCCAGCCATGTTATTTTATTGAATAGCATTTGTTGGTCAATCTTCTTAAGTGGTGGTATCTTTGGGGGCTTTCTATATTACAGTTGCAAAGA